GGAGGGGGGAGGAGGAAAAGGGAGGGGAGAAGAGGGAGAGGGAAGAGAGAGAAGGGAGAGGAGGGAAAGGGGAGGGGAGAGGAGGGGAGAGGAGCCCGAGACTCGAGACTCAGGTGAGTGCAAGTAAAGGTTTGCCTGTGTCCAGTGAGGTCAGAAATTACCAGATGTCGTGGGAAAATCAAGAAAGCGACTGAGGATCTGAAGGAAGAGAAACTGAAGTTGGAATCCAAGGTAGGGATGCCTAGACCGAGCTAGCTGTTGCGTGGGGAGGGATCTGACTGGCTTTTCGGAAAACTCCACTGTCCGGCTACCAGGAAGCTCCAGGATTATATATTGTGTTGTCCAGAGTTTAAAGTTCTGAAACCAATAATGTCTTCAGATATTAATAGGAAGTGGCCCCAAGGAAGCCAGCCTTAAATAAGGAACCCCATTGTGTGGGGTGGTTAATGTAAAGGAACACAATGTCATGGGAAGAGTAATTGTCCAATAAGCACTTAGTGCAGCATATAAATTTTAAATGCTAAATAATTTAAGTGTGCTTTGCGGGTGTAATAACAGATCGTGTGTATCTTCGGTGGGCCTCGGCTTTCTCACTTTCTAGTCATTACCACATTTTTGGACAGGTCTCATCCAAAAGTGTCCTCCTGCTCTCATCTCTCTCTTTTGCACTGGTAAAGTTCTGGGTTTTAATAAATAGAACCAAGGGAGTCTCATAGCTTCAAGAAAGATTTTGAACTGTCGGTAGAATTTTGGAGAAGCAAAGAGATGTCGTAGGAGAAACCGTTTGTAGCCAAGGGAGGGAGCAGATCTGCCCCAGGCACATTGAGACCCCAGCAGAGGACTGGTGTGTACAGTAGGAGGAGAATGTGGCCAAGATGTGACCGGGGAGGGGCAATAAAAGTGCTTTTAGGAGGCCCTTTGCACTCTGATCCCAAAGATGGGAGACAGGTGTGAAGATGCTGAGGCCACATGGGAGGCCTCACTCTGAGCAGGAGCACACAGGGGTCCAAGAACCTGTTTCAACACCTAAGATGAACTAAGCAAGCAGTGTGCATAGGTAGTCTGTTTACATAATTACTCTGTTTTTGTCTATAACATGGTCTGTTTTTTGTATATTAAATATAAACTTATACGTAAATAAATTATAAATTATTACTCTATTTAGCTTACATTTGTGAAGAAGTTTCAGTTTTCCCTGGATCAACACATACTGGTATTTGCAGCCCCTGTTGCTTTGAGAGGATCATACTTAGACCTTTTTCTTATCCACCTTTATTCTCCTTGTGTTGGTTGCTTAGCAAACATTGCATGTGAGTGTGTTCACTACTAAGAGTGTGATCTATAACAAAGAAGGAGCTGTCTTAATTTGACAAGTAAAACTTGTACATGTTTATGGGTTCCATGTGTTTTTATATGCATTTTATAATGCTCAAATCCAGGTTAATGTATCTGTGGCAACAGTTATTCTGACTTTGTGGTGAAAATATTACATATCTTTTAATTTTTTAGTATAGGTTACTTGCGTCAGTCACCCTGCTGTGCAGTAGAATACCAGCATTTATGCCTCCTGACTATGATGAGTACGCGCCAGCCAGTCTTTCCTTTCCCCCCTTACACGCCAGACGGTCTTTCCTTCCCCCCTTACACACCAGCCAGTCTTTCCTTTCCCCCCTTACACGCCAGACGGTCTTTCCTTCCCCCCTTACACACCAGCCAGTCTTTCCTTTACCCCCCTTCCAACTAAAAGAGACGGGCTGTCTTTGAAAACATAACTTGGGGCTGTTATTCATTCATTGAGCCCCTGCGCTCTTATTTTCCTATAGTAAGAGAGAAAGTAGCCCCTAGTGACAGTGCCGAAAGCTGCCAAGGCTGGGCAAGCTGTGAGCAGTGTCATGATGTAGCTGTCTTCCCTTGAAGAAGAGTTATGATGATTTGAAAGTTGGCAAATGGAAGCCAACAGAAGAAAGGTCCAGAGAGAGAGAGAGAGATAGACACAGACGGACAAACAGACAGACAGACAGACAGACAGACACAGACATTGCCACCTCCACACTTGGCAGCTAACAGTGCTCATGTGCCTGGCACTATTCAAAGGTGACATTACTCCTTTAGTTCTAACAGGAACTCTGTGTGGAGGAGCCAGCATTCCCATTTTGCAGGTGAAGAAGTTGAGAGTTTAAATGGCTTGTCCGTGGTATATACTATAAAACCAAATAACTACCATAATAAAAGTAACAATTACGGAGAACATAACTCTATTAAAACAGAATCTCAAGCTCATCTTGAACATTCTTTCATGACATACAGTAATGTGTCTGAAGCTTTGTGTCTGGGGCAGTATTCTTTAAAGGTCACTTAGTAAGCTTTTGTATAAAGTACATTTCTCTGGGATTGGTGACATACTGACCTGACAGCAGGTAGTAAGTGTTTTTTTGTTTTTGGTTTTTGGTTTTTCAAGACAGGGTTTCTCTGTGACTTTGGAGGCTGTCCTGGAACTAGCTCTTGTAGACCAGGCTGGTCTCAACTCACAGAGATCCTCCTGCCTCTGCCTGCTGAGTGCTGGTATTAAAGGTGTGCGCCACCAACTCCCGGCTGTGTTTTATTTTAAATGAAATCTTTTTTTCTTTCTAATGTTTCCTTTGTAAGACAAATTATTATTCTTTGTAACACTTTCTTTCTTAGCAGCCTGTTTTACCTGAGAGTAGAAATGTGGTGTTGGTGTCTACACAGACTTAAAGAGGATGTTGATTTAGTTGTTTGTGCTAGAGAAAACACAGCAAATCTCTAATATTGTTTAACAACATTCATTGAAATTACTAATTAATATAGGCTCATAAATGTCCATTGCTTTTTAATCAGCTCATATACATGGGTAATAATATAATTGTATCTTACTAATAAAACTAGCATATGAGGGTCACAGTTCATACAACATTAACTTGTAGTTGAGGTAATTTGATTTATAATTAGAGTCAAGATGGTGTGTATGTATAAAGATTTTAAAGTGGAATTAAGATTATAATGTGAGTGAGTAATGGGAAGAGCTAAGGAAGTAATCATAAATTGATTCTGTTTCTTTTCTCAGAGTTAATTATATGTCTGCCAATAGCAATGGAAATATATTTCCTTGAATACTTGACTTGGTGTTTATTGACCCATTTATCAAACAGAAGCAGCATGAAGAGAAGCTAGAACAGACCTGGAACAGAGCAATACTGGAGCTGTTGTGTATTCATTATTCAAAAATGATTTGGGCATTTATTTGGGAAATGGCTTGTGGTCAAAGTATTTTTAGGACTCTTTTCCCCTAGTCTGCAGAACCTAGGTAGCATGTAATTAGAACTTGAGAGGTAACATTTGCCTCTCAGGATGGGATGAGTCCTTTAAAATATATGGCTGCACAAAGTCTGAGATTGTGTGAGTGCTATGTGACTCACAGCTACAGAGAGCCTGGCTAACTTGACTAGGCAGCTACAGTGAGCCCCGCTAGGTGTGGTGATGTGAAAACCAGAGGCTGGGTACATGCTGTGTGGCCTTAATGCTTCCTAGTGTACCTGAGGCACCCAGCTGTTTATGGAAGGTATTGTAGTGTGGATGTCAGAGAAGCTAAAATAAAGCAACCCATTGAGTTTCCTATATGTAAAAACTGGCATGTAATTATACTTTGGGTAGTTTTTATAAACATCCTATATAAAACCCAAAACTGTGCCATACTCCTGTGAGAGGGGTAAATAGAGGGAAAGATTAGGCTACAATAGCATATTTTCCATATCAACTTGTCATTATAATATAATTACAACATTCTCCCCTTTTTCTGCTCCCTCCAAACCATCCCGTAAACATTCTTGCTCTCTTTCAAAATCATGGCCTGATATTTTATTGCATGCGTATGAATGTATGTATGTATGTATGTATGTATGTATGTATATGCATATATATTCCTAAAAATCACCTGCATGGTGTTAATAATGTTACTTGTATATACAAAGAAATATTTTAAGAACATAAAATAATGCTTTATGAATTTTAAAGACAATACATTCTAATGAAGTAACAATGGCTCCAATTACATTTTTATTTATAAATGTAGACATTCTGCCATCTAGTTGGTAAGGTCAGTCACCCTCTTGAGAAGTGGTCTTTTGGTACTGAAAGAATAAAATTATAATTTTTTATTGTTTATAATACTAAAACGGAAGTTTTTAGTTGAGGTGGTTTGTTTACTTTTAAGATTTGTGTATTAAACAAAATGTTGTATCCTATCCTACTTATTCTTAATTTTATGATTGGTTTAAATTTGTGTAAAAATGTGGATGAAAGAAGACGCTTGTCAGCTTATGGCACAACAGAAATTCTGCTTAAACAACAGTGGAATGTTGCTGACTTGTGTAACTGGGGACCCAATATTTGACTCATGGCTTCTTCTGTTGTCATTGCATCGGGCCACTGATAACAGAAACCTTGCCTTTGTGGTTCCACTGAATAACAGTTGCTTTTTTCGCTCAGGTAATCAGGTCTGAAAGGGGGTTGGTTACCAGGCCATTTATTAAAGCTGCTTGAGGGAACCCTAAAGTGTTAGCTTGTTCTGCATTTGTTCACTGCACCATGCACCATTCCTGAGCACTGTTCCATTCCTTGGAGTGTTCCTGAAGCTTGGAGGAAAGGATTTTAGGGGGGGAAGTCCTCAAAAATTTCAACCTGCAGTATAAGGGTTAGAATTCAGTAGTCAACATTGGCAGGTGAGTCTAAGATTTTGTTGTTGCTTGTTTTTGGAGACAGGATCTCAGTCTACAGCTGTCCTTAAAATCTGCATCTCTCCTGGGCTGTCCTTAAAATCTGCATGTCTCCTAGGCTGGCCTTGAGCCCTTGATGATCCACTTGTCTTGGCCTCCTGGCAGTACCTGAGTTATTGTCACGAAACAGTTGGAGTTGTGTTAGTCAAGTGAAATGTGTGGCTGTCCTTGTGTCCTTACATAGGTGTTAATAATTCCTAAGGTCAAGCACTTCTCTGTTCAAAATCAGAGACAGGAGGATGTGTATAGGATACCTTACAGGCGGAGATATTCCCACTCTCCATCGTGTAGTCAAGTTTTTTTTTTCTCCATGATTTGTGGTGATCTTTGGACCAGTAATGGTCTTCAAGTTCAGTGAGGATGACCCATGTTTCAGAAAAAACATTAACTGGTTAGCAAGGAAATGAAGAATGTGTGTCAGAGAGGCAACCATAGTGT